TGTTTGTATACCATATTGCTTATGTATTATAAACAATTCTAATTAAACATGTCTCCAGTATCAGAGAAAGAACAACATCGTCAAGTTTCATTACATTTTTGGAACCAGGGAGTGCGTACTGCCAAAGAGCTTCATAATTTCACAAATATATCACTTCAAACAATATATTATAGTATTAAAAAATTAGAAAAAAAAAAATAACAACACACCTGATATCGACCAAAGAAGATTACTGCGGCAGGTTCGAAAATACTAGGTCAACAAATTCGACGCAATTATTCAAACTCTCTCAGAACATTGGCAACTAGACTGTCAAAAGAAGGTATCGAAGCATCGTATGTGACTGTCTCAAGACATCTGAAAAGTACTGGTTATAAAAAAAGTCTTCCAGTCGCAACACCAATACTTACCCCAGACCATAAGAGAAGACGTGTTGAATGGGCCAAAAAGCACCTTAACGATTACTGGAATAAAACACTATTTACGGATGAGACAGCCTTTCAGCTCTTCCGTAACACCATGAAATGCTGGAATAAAGGCGAAATCTTCCGAAAGATCGAACAAAGATTCTTGCATGGGGTAGATTTTATATAGGCGGTAAACCCAATTTGTTCGAAATATGGACGCCGCATTCTATGTAAAAATACCTCAAAAACATATCCCAGAGGTTTATCAAATGATGGAAAATAAATGGCGGCTCCAACAAGATAACGATCCAAAACATACCAGCCGCCTAGCCAAATCATTCCTTCAGGAAAATGTTCCTAAAGTTATTGACTGGCCGAGTAACAGTCCTGACCTCAACCCTATTGGCTATTGTTAGGATAAGGTGGAAAAAAGAATACCCCAAAACCGTGGTGAATTAGAGCGTTTTATGGTTGAGGAATGGAATGCCATTCCTGATGATGTCTTAAGAAATTTAGTGAAGTCAATGCGAAAGAGATGTGAAGCAAAAATGGTAAACGAATCTCATTTTAACTAATACCAATAAAAAACGAGGTATCTTTCATATTACTCAGAGCAATGGTTGTGTCGTAGTGATAAATATTAAATTTGCAAAAACTTTTGTAACACACTGTAAATAGTTGGTTCAACGATAAATAGACCTCACGTTTATCATAATAAAAATAATTTTAAGATATAAATGCTCTGAATAATCAGAATAAATACACGATATTGAACGAATATAGTTGAATATGAAATTCCACAAGGAATTGGCGAAGGCAAGACTATAGACAAGGATTCATCATTCATTTGCTGATAATTTCTTTGTTGTTGCTGTAATTTACAGTGACTGTCTACTTTAAATTACCTTAACCTACATTGCAATAAAGTCGAAAACACATGCATATGTAAACTAACAAAAGTTGTTACTTGACACTGATTCCAATCTAATATGAGGAGAATTTTATATTTAGTGTAAAGATAGTACTATAATCAGCTGGAACGTTAATAGACGTGGGTTGGAAATAATCCCCTAATATCAGCATAGAGTTGAGGCTGGACATCTCAAGGCCAACAGTCATGTATTATTATTTTCGACTTTTGACAATTAAACGCAAGTAGTAAGATTGTTTTTGTTAAGATGCCTTTAAACGATACAAGAGACGCTTTGTTTATAAACTTTGAGAATTTATTAATATTATTTGATATTTCTTGCTTACTCTTTAAAAGGTAATAAATTTATCATGTTGACCTTCAGCCAAGTAATGCATTTTTCTAGGATTAGAGTTGATAGAGTTATTTCTATTATTTGGTTTTTAATACCGCCTTTCCAAATCAAAAACAAGAACAGATTAAAATGTATATTTCTTGCACACTTGGTAAATTTTAAACATGTAATGCGTTTTTCCAAGGTATATGTCAGGTATATCCGTTTGAACCGGCGTTGACCAAACCGATCTCGGGTTTAACCGGCTGTCTAACAATTACAAAATGTTCAAGAATAAAGTATATCATAATCATGCATACAAAGAATGGAGAACTTGCGAATTTCGTGCGACTGTTGATAATACTAAATCAACTGTTTTCTCTATCTTTTGCTTAGTTGTCCTAGTTGTGACACTTGTTCTCAAGCTATTGTACACAAGCCAACTTGCACGTCCTAACAATCGCTAAAATGTCTACATTTAAGCACTATAAAATCCCTTCCGTAGTTTGCGGACAATTTTACCATCGAGTCAATATAAAACCCTTGTCATTGTTCTTCTCAATATTGACGCGACAAATTTCAGCAATATTAATGCTCACCTTGCCGGCCATGCGTATCGACCAACCAAACCACAACTTCTTTCCTTATTCAGATTAACATCTCTCCATTAATCGCTTTAAATTTGTGGGTAAATGCTCCGAGTCAAGACGTGTGTTCTTCGAGATCAATAAAGCACGCCATCTGGTAGTGCGTGTCACTTTTTTAAGAATATGTGTATCGAAGTAACAATAAAAAGGGGTTTGTGTGTGGCAAATAATTAAATATAGCTTTGAACCATATTGGCTAATCTACTCATGTGTAGTTTCACGGGTCTTGTATTCGGGGGGGGTCAATTCATCTAAAAGCGATGGTATCGCTATACTACATCAGGAAAAGAGACCTTCCTTATCTTTGTCACACAAACGACGTAATACACAACATTATATTCTGCACTATTACGTACTTGCCCACCATTGTCTATGAAAATGAGAGCTTATACTACTTTTAATGGACTAGGGCAAATGTTAGAAACAGGAAGTGATACATATCCATATCCATACAAATATTAATTTCTCGTTAAAAGAGTACAAAAGAGGTGTAGTTAATATTAATAATAATTTCCAGAATTAATTCGGCTGAAATTGATACATACTAATACGATATATATCGTATACTTTCTCCTTAATTGGTGCTTTGTACATCACAATCAAACTGAAGGATTAACAGTGTTTACAATCTTTCTTTCAAGACTAGCTTAGGACGAAAAAGAGTCGAAGAAAAAAAACGGTTCAAAGTTATAGATCTCTCCTTTATTGTCACAATAAAACGGTCTATGAGGCTTGACTTGTGGAATAAACCGTAGGACAGTGCGTGTGAAAATGTTTACAATGAAAAAAAAATTTTGTATTCTGTGTGTTGCCATAATATTTGTATGGGTGCTTACAAATCGATATCGCAAATATCTTTCCGAGGTCACATCGGATTTTTCAGATTTGGGAGCCAGCAAGAGCCTTTACTAAGCCTAATTGCCAAACAGCGAAATTTAATGAGATTTTTGGTATCCGGTCTGCTTTAATACTAATAGACTGGATGTCGGAAAGTCATACTTGTACCTAAATAACCACAAGTTGAAATATCACGTGACTATATAATTACGGCGCAGTACAGTTTATTCTCTTGGCATATGGAAATTAAAGCGGGATATCAATACTTTTCAGTTGTTTGGATTCAGGGAAATACGTAAATCCGTTATTGTCAATGCGCCTTTTACCTAGAGTATTGGGTAAAAATAAGCTAGAAAGGCGTGTGATCAGAACACTATTAAAAATAGAAATTTAAAAATAACCGAACAATAAACAAGCGTAATAATAATAATAATATTATTATTTAAATTATCTTAGACAGACCCTAAAAAGCAACATGCTTAACGGAATAGAGTTAATGTGGGCAAATTTGCTGCTGTCATTATCATATTGAACAGCATAGTTCTGGCCCGTCATTCATTTCCGATATCCGAAACACAATTAGTTAATTGATGCCGCTTACAGTTAGTGAATATTATAATTTTTCAATTACTTGTTGTCTATAACAAACCAACAACTGCAAAGCAACAAGTCATGTGCTGACATGCACTTGATTTCTATGTGCATGATTTTAAAATTGAGACGGAATAAAGAACTTTGAATGATAGGCACAGCTATGAAATATAGTGTTACAAATACAAATATATTATTCCACAACTATTTCCGTATCCAGTACGGGTTCTATATATATGGATCTGTAATATCATCCAATATGCACAGTATGCATAATATGCACGACCCGTATATATATATACGTAGATATATATACGTAGATATATACAGTATGTATAAGTATGTATTCTATAAGAATTCTTCCTGTAACAAGAAAAAAAGTTCTCTTGTTCTAGGACATATCAGTCCCCACTCCCCCTCTCTCCTGAAACTTCTCCCTATGAGACTTGTGTAAGAAGATTTGTCGCTTTTGTTGATGATAACTTAATCTTGGCATTTTTATTGTACTCCGTTGTACTTGGCGTCGATGACGAGAAGAAAACGTAACTCCCTGGTCAAATTTATGATCAAAGTATGTCCTTACAAATGACGCTGATAGGTAGCAAATTAATGCAATATATTAAAATTAAAATGTTTACCCGCCGATTCTATTTGTTTCGGTTTTGATATATGAGATCGGTGCTAATTGCATGTGGCCGAGATGTGTCACTCGAATGATATAACTGTTTGTTGCGATGAATGCTAGCTAATAAATATTCGTACATTTTATTAGTCAGTACATTGTGTTAAGTGATTGTAGTGGGTGTAATGTATATTAATATAAATGAACACATAATTGGCAACAACAACGTAACATCACACATAAATAGTGGGGATTGCCTTCATTTCCCCATAACCAGTGTGAGTGCTTCTCGAGAATTAGTATATATTCATCCATTACCCTCATTATCGGACAGCAATTATTACACTTCAGCTTCCTCAAACAACGATGCGCTCGTCCAAGAATATAGCGGCTCTACTAATACTTGTAGTCCTTGCAGTTTTTGTATCAGCAGGTATGCATTATTGACAAATGGATAGTTCGTAAACTTCTAGAAAAAAGTATACATTTTGACATACGCACAGAACGGAATGTCTATTCTACTCATGTGAACTTAATCGCTAATTTCTCCAACTTTGAAATCTTCTTTTCTAAACCAAAAGACATCACAGTCCTAAACACACCTCCTACACTCATTCAGAACCAAATCTATCAGATCACATGGACTTATGCCGGTCCCGCTACCGGCAGAGGTCAGTTAATAATTACAGACAGTGCTTCAAATACTCCCAAGCTCATCAGCGCGGCCGTCAATTTGACACCAAACGCATTCCCATGGACTGTCGATGTCAATGCGGGCAAGTACTTCTTCACATTGACCGAGGCTGGTACTGCAAACACCAAGACGAGTGGAGTTTTTTCGGTGGTTGCAAATGATGGCACAACCCCGCCTGGTTCGAATACTACTGTTCCTGCCACTCCTGTTTCTACCGGCACATCTGGTGCTACTACTACTGGCACTTCTACCACTACCACTTCTCCCACCAGCAAACCTACGTAAGTATTGCCAATGAATTGTCTCGAGAGTCTCTGAACAAATCTGATAGAGTTCCATTTGAAATCTAATCAATGTCTTTCTTACCATCAATTTCGCTAGTGCACCAGCTGGAAGCGGTAGCTCAGCTCCCTCAGCTCCTCCTAGTGATGGCTCGAAGCCAGCATTTTCCATATTCGTTACTGTTCTCCTTCCTCTCGTATTCGCTCTTGTTCAGATGATCTAGAGGTGTATGACAGGGTCGCAAAATTTGGAACATTCTTCAGTTTCTTTATATCATAAATTTTACACTCTTGTATTTTTACCTTTCCAAACTTAATCTTAGTAGTAACAACTCGAAATATCGTTTCCCAAAAATTCATTAATGGTGAAAATGATTGAGGGATCAATACATCATATTCTCTGCCTCCCTGACGTTATAGCCATCCCAGATTTTTGAAATTCGTTCATCATATACGAAGAAATTTCATATACGAAGAAATTTTATATCCTATCTATTATTCTCGCTGTTTCATAATAAATTATAGTCATCCTCCGTTGAGCGGTTTTCATCACAAACTAGTTTTCGATTACTTTGTATGCAATCAGGAGTAATGATTAAAACGACCATGTGTAAAAGGGTGAAAGGCATTAGTAAGATTATCATTATCGGGATGCATAAGTTTCAAGTGTCGATTTCGGGAATAAGCTTACTTTGCCGGTGTGATTGATCTGTTCAAAGTAGGAATAGTCAAGGCATATAATCGGGCATTACGATTCGGTGCTCTTGACAAAACAAGACCGATTTAAATCGAGTTGTTAATATCAAAGACATGCCATCATCCATAACCCATCTTATCAAACCAAACACCCCCTCCCTATGCGCGTGCCATCAACTTTTCCCCACCGCTCAAGATTATCTATCACATGTAAACCTACGATTAGTACCAAGATCTCAGATAGCTAGGAGCTAATCCTCTTGGTGTGGACCGCAGGCTGTTTCCATCTTATCTTGGACAGTAGGGAAGTCGGTTATGGGGAAGAGGAGGCACACATAATGCTCCTTAGTCGACCACCAGGCAATTTGAATCCAAGTTTGCATATGATTCTATGTAGAAGCAAATGATGATCGGAAAATTCAATTGATATGTACAAAAACGGATTATGGGATTTTCGAAAACTGAATTAACAAATAGGTAAAGGTCAAACAGTACATATCATTTATATTAGGGAAGAAAGGTGCGCTAATGGGCAATTCGCATCAATCTAATCCTTAAAAGGCTTTTTGTTGTGAGCCGTTCGTATTATCCTTCTTATAGAGGCATGAGTAGAGAATATGCGTTTATTATTATGTCTCAACGAGTATGTATTACAAAAGTTATGTTAGTATTTAGCATGGTCCCCGTTTTCTTCGTCGATCAATTGTCTATCACGAGAATTCTGACATGAGAAACTCGCGTTTTCTCACGATGAGGACAATGAAAACGACGTTATGCGCGTTAAAATAGTATCTCGGGTGCTTGACCTATGTATGGCAAACTTCATTGATCAATGTTCCAGTAACATCTATTTAATGCTTTTTTGATACCCTGCATTAGGGAGATCCTAATGACCTATGTCTAAAGAACTTGTATTATTATAAACCTACGATAGGTTACGGAAGCTGTGCCTGGTTTTTAGTCGATACGAATAAACCGAAATGAATGGTATCCTGCGTGGGCGTTTTGGAAAGGACAATGCTTATGGTATGTGATAATTGGATAATGTGTATTAGTTCTCGATGATATCGTTTCTGCAAACACAGAAATATATTGCAATATAGATTTACATTCTTGTATTGATGGAAAAAGGAAATGGGATTTTCCTGCTCCAAATTTAGTATGTTTGTCTATAGGATCTGAAAGATTAGAATCAAGATGTCAGTAATATTATAGCGTCTTGGTTATTTGTCTTTTGCTAATTCTTTTTTCCTCTTTAAAGCCCGAGAATTGCTTTATAAACCCCATTCGAAACTCGGTTCAAAAGTGTACGCGTTGGTCCTGGTCACAGGAGGGATCGGGCATAACCGATGAAGAGGAAATTAGTGATTATTCAACTGTCGAAAGTGGGAATGCAGGTCCGTGCGTAAGTACAAAGATGACAGACTCGTTCGACGTCGCCTTTCCTCGTCTTCAACTAATATGTACAGATTTTGTTTTCCCCTGAATGCTTAAAGCAATTTCGTCAATATATGTTGGACAACAGATGGGTGATTGAATATTAGACATTATTCAGACGAAAGAGCGGACTTATAAAAGATTGTGGGTCGGTTTACGAACGGATGATGATATACCAAAGAATGCTTCTCGATCCGCGATATCGAACAAATCACCTTATCCCAAAGAACAATGAATGCATTGTGGATGTTATTATTATCGCAACTAGCTAATATTTGCTCAGATTCAGCCAGAGGTTAGGAATGGTGCAGACCAAACATTATTTCGCACGCGGCACAATTGTGTATGGCGAGTTTTGTTTGTGCTGGATGCCGTTAAACTTCATCGTTACGCGTCAAGGCTATGCAGCAATATCATGAAAATGGTGAGGGATATGAGTGGATTGACGATTCACCACTCGCGTAATATTATCGATAGGCAGTGGAATGAACTAAGGTTCTAGTTTTTATAAGAGTGTTCGGAGGGTTTTCTTCGATCGGAAAGATCTCGAGTAGGTCTGTGATCTCTTTATTCTAACGGGGTTCAAATAGTACCCCCTGACATCAGTTAACTTCTTACCGCCCGTTCTCTTGCTTGTTGGTCGATGGACTAGGAGTATTGTCTGCAATATCCAAAGTATTGGCCAACTGCACGGGATCATTTGATTCCAGGACAGTTCACCAGCTCATCTGTACTGGATCCGTAAATGACACAGACGCTTATGAAACAATGACGAAGTATCATCCAGCTGGTGCTGAAAGGAAGCTTTTCTATATTTCTATGATCTACCCGGCAAAGGCCACTAATAGTAAACGTGCGCGATTTATTTTGGTATCTAAACTCATGTTGACATACATTGGAATTTAATTTGAAGAGGAGTAAACACTTGAATAAAACTCGTATAAACTGTGAATAACCCGTGAATTACAAGTTTATTCAAAAGTATTTGCGAGTCACTAACCATAAGCAGTGGAGGATGTTAATATTGTAGATTGACTTCGTTTATATGAATGTTGTCTTCGTAACCGCCACTACACCCAAATTACCTCCCTTACTTCTCGTCAACCTTCCTTAACTCGACCTCTAAACTGAGCAAGCTGAAATCTGATTAGGGAGGTAACTGATGAGAATCGTAGCTGTTTCCTGGTTTAGGCAGATCTCCAGTAGGTAAGAGCGTACTAGAATATTTACTCTCCTTCTGAGATGTGATAAGGGTTTTACGTCATTATGATAGATGGTCTTCACGCGTTGTCATCAGAATTGTCGTCAGAATCGTCAGAATTGTCGTCAATAAGCTCCTCAATACTAACCCAAAGTGGCCATGAATCAGGACGCTTATCAGGATCAGCATCACAACACCGCTCGGCAAGTTTCTTGTATTCCTCTGGTGCGGAATCAGGCATCGA